ATCCTTGGCACCACATGCTGTGCTGGCCCCACCCACTGGGTATGCTGAATCAGCCACTAAGACCGGGGTGGTGATGCACACCTGTAATCCCAGTGCTGGGGAGGCTGAAAACAGGAGGATCAGGACAAGTCTGAGCTGCGTAGTGAGACCCTGTACCAAATACATGAAAAAAAAAAGTAATTATTTGTGGATGACATGATACTCTATGTAGAAGACCCCCGAAAGTCCACCAAAATACTTCCAGATTTAATTAGTAAATTAATCACAGTGTAGCTAGATAGAAGTCAACACTCAAAAAATCAGTAGCATTCCAGTACACAAATAACAAGGTCACGGAGTGAGAAGTCAGGGAAACTGCACCTTTCACAATAGCAAAAAAAAAGAAAGAAAGAAATACTTAGGCATCAATCTTATGAAGGAAGTAAAAGACTCCTACATTGAAAATTACATTACTCTGAAAGAGGTGATTGAAAAGAATATCAGAAAATGAAAGATACCTCTTGCTCTTGGCTAGGAAAAACCAATAGAGTGAATATGGCCATACTTCCAAAACTGTCACACAAATCTAATGCAGTCCCAATCAAAATTCCAACAGCATGTCTCACAGAATTAGAGAAAACATTCCTAAAATTCACATGGAACCAGAAGAGATTTAAAATAGCAAAAGCAATTCTGGACAACAAGGGCAAGGAAGGGTCATCACAATCCCTGACTTGAAATTGTACTACCACACTACTGTGATAAAATCAGCATGGTACTGGCAAAACCACGGACCCGGGGCTCAGTGGAACTAATTAGAAGATGCAGAAATAACTCTAAAGACCATCTTTCCTTTGGCAAACAGTCCAAACACAATCACTGGGAGAAAGATAGTCACTTTAATAAATGGTGTTGGAAAAACAGGCTTTCCAGATGCTAACGATTAAGGCAAGACCTATATCTTTCATTATACACTAAGCTAAAATAAAAAAGAATCAAAGTTCTAAGTATTAAAACACAAACATTAAATCTACTGGAATATAGAATAGGTAGTGCTCTTGAAGACATTGGCATAGGTGAAGATTTTATGAATAAAACCCAATCACAAAGAAGTATCAGAAACAATAAACAACCTGGCTCTTATGTTATATAAAAGGCTTTGACTTAGCTAAGGAAAACAGAAACAGAATGAAGGGACAACCCACAGTATGGGAAAACGTTTTTGTCAGCTGGTCCTCAGACAAAGGACTAATATTTAGAACATATAAAGAACTAAAAAAAAATAGCCCCCAAATTTAAAGACCCAAACCAAAAATAAGCTTCTGAAATCAATATATACTTCTCAGTAGACTTTTTTTTTCTTTTGTGGTACTGGGGGTGGAGCTCAGGACCTTGCACTTGCCAGGCAGGTGTTTATGCCATTGAGCTATCTCTCCAGCCCCAATATACGTGTCTCAAAGGAAGCAATACAAATGGCAAATAAGTATGTGAATATTACTGGTCATTCAAGAGATGCAGATTAAAACAGTACTGACAGGGCTGGGGAGATGGTTCAGTAGAATAAGCGCTTGTCTGACAAGCCAAAGGGCCTGAGTTCAATCCCCAGTTCTGCCAAAAAAACAAACAAACAAAAAAACAAACCAGTACTGAGATTCCATCTCACTCCAGAAAGAAAGGCCATCATCAAGAAATCAACCCAGTCTTTTGAAAGGAGCAGTTAATGCTTAATTTTTTTTGCTCTTATTGTTCTTCCTCTTTTGAATTTCTTATAACTTCCTTGTTATTGTTATTGCATTGTTTTGTTTTCTTTAAATGAACCTTACACATCTATATCTGATAATCTGAACAACTAATTTGAAGGTAGCCTTTATGTAATACAGCAACTATTGTTGAATTCTTATTACTTTTTTAGGGAAATTTTGTATCATTCCTAATGCTATTTATTTTTTCTACTATTATTTTGTATTCTTTAAAAATAAACAATTTTTTAGAAAAGAAATCAACCCAATAACAAATGTGCGTGGAGTTCTGGGGTAAAAGGAACCCTTCTCTATTGGTGGGAGTGTAGACTTGTGCATCCACTGAGGAAATCAGTATGGAGAGTTCGAAAACCTAGGCCTACAGGTTCCATTCAACCCAGCTAGTCCGCCTTCTTGGCATCCTCCCTGCTACGGCTTGTGTCTGGATGTCCCCCCAAAGCCTCATGCAATCATGGGCGTGGGTTCTAGAGCTTGTGATTGCTTCCTGGTCTAATGCTAGGGCTGCGGGTGTGAGCGCTACATCTGTTCTGGGCCAAGCAGCCTGCATACAATGTTTGAAGGGAGTGGAAAAGGCTGGATGCTTCTCCTCCCCGCCCCCCCCCTTTTGCCCTTGTTGCCTTTGCTGTCCTCCAGGCTGTGAATGGTTGCTCCTCTGCCACACCAGCCTGTCTTGGAACAGGCGAGTATGGACTGAAACCTCCACAAACTCTAAACTAAAGAAACTTTTCCTTCCTTAAAGTGGGGTATTGGGTATTTTGTCTCAGCAATGAGAAAAAAAGTAACCAAGATACTTCCAAAAGCATTAAAAACATCATATCACAGCAACATATGGACACCCATGTTTATAGTGACACAGTTTATGATAGTTCAATGTTGGAAGCAACCCAAATACCCATCAACTGATGGATGAATAAGATATATATTTTTTAATATAATGGAGTACTACTCTGTCATAATGAAGGATTGAAGATAAGATAGGTCTACATAAATGGATGCAGCTTAAAAGCATACTCTGAGATAATTTTTTTTTTCTTTTTTTGCAGAACCAGGGATTGAATTTGGGTCCTTGCGCTTGCTAGGGAAGTGCTTATTCCACTGAGCCATGTCCCCGACCCCAACTCTGAGATAAATTGGACACATATGTTCAGTTACTGTATGGCTTCTTTGGGGTGAGAAACAGAAAATGTAAATAAAGACCAAAATGTATAATAGATATTGGGAAATGGGGAAAAAATGTTCAAATGAGAAGGAAACAAGGGAAGGGGAGGATGAAGGGAAGGAAGGGATGAGGAAAAATGGGAAGAAAGCTGTTGTAAATAAGGAGAGGAAGGGGGTCCTGGCCCTAGCTCAGTCCTTTAAGTGGCTGCTTCCACAAAGCTGTCAGCCTCAGGTTGCTGGAGTTCGAACCTCACAACTCTCCCGCTGGCCAAAAGTGCCCTGAAGGCATGCGAGGAACAAAAAAAAAAAAAAAAAGGAGAGGAAGAGGGGCTAAAGTTACAGGGAGGGGAATGGAAAAACAAAAGAAGCAAGCTATATGATGTTCAGGTACAAATTCCTTATGATGAGTGTGATCATTGCTTATATCTAATGATGTACCAATAAAAAATAAAATTGAAAAAAGAATTGTAGCATATGTAATTCTGAATTCTCAAGTAGTTTTCTTTAAATGGATGCTTCTACAAGCATTAGGACAAAATATTTCTGGAATGGCACTTCAAAATACCTTGTCTACAAAGGCTGGCATTGTCACCAGCTACTTTAATTTTAATTTTAATTTTTTGGTACAGGGTCTTGCTATGCAGTTCAGACTTGTAGTAATCCTCCTGTTTTCAGTCTCCACAGCAGCTGGGATTACAGGCGCACACCACCAGCCTGGACTCCATCACCGGCTCAGCATGCCCCGGGGATGGAGCTGGCGCAGCTTGTGGTACCAGGGACTGGTACCCCAGTCCCTATGCTTGCCTAAGCAAGTGCTTAGTCTGCTAAGCTATCTTGCCAGCCCTGTCACCAGCTACTTTAAATGTCCTAGACATTTCTGACCTGAACTGCCCCCTTGCACCCTTGTGTCTGTGTGTCCCGTCGGTTCTAGCTTCCTTTTTGGTCTGCACAGCCTGCACTCTGATCATAGGCCTGTACTGCTCCAGTGGAGCCCAGCACGTTTGCCTGGGTTTGTGCTTGGTGCTTTCCCCATCTGAAAGGCATTACTCCTCGCCAAAGATCAAATCTAATCTAGAATTATAGGTTCAGTGCAAAGCCCACTTGATCCATAATCTCTTCCTGACCTCTTGCCATTAGATGATTTGTCCTCTCATTAAAGTCCTTTATATTTGTGCCAGTTTGGACAATCAAAGATATACGGATGGCTCATGCATGAATTTGGGGCTTTAGGGTGGAGTGAAAGCATCCATCATCAGGGACTTTGAATCTGGTCATCCCTGCACTAGGCATGTGTGCTAGGAGGCTCGCAATGCAGGGCAGCGGCAGTGAGCCGCACCACAACTCAGCCCTGGGTGTGTCGATAAACCTACAGTCCATGCAGTGTTGTGCTGTCGGCGCGGTTCGGGTATTTTGTCTTGTGCTGGGCCACAGGATGTCCACCCCTTTCAGCACAGTGTTCAGTGAGCTGCACGAAGCCTCAGTGCTCCTGCAGGCTGCTCTGTGTGTTTTGAGCAAGTGCAAGGAAGGCAAGGCTGCCCCGGGATGTTCAGTTGTGTTACATGCACTTTGGATTTGGGACCTCTTCAATCCTTGATGGGTTTATCGGGGCAAGACCCTACCCTAAATAAGGAATATCTGCACAATTCTTAACATTCCCTTCCTTTGTGTTTGCAAAAGTAGTTTAAACTTTACCTGTGACTTCCTGTTGACACATTTATATCACCTTCCTGCACCTTCACTAAATGGTTACCAAAGGCCAAGGTCAGTCTTACTATCTTCCCAGCACTACGCCTCAACACACAGCAGGAACTTGGTAAATGTTTGTTGATTTAATATGACAGTAAATTATAGCCTCATGTAATAAAATGCTTGTTCCATTCAATGTCTATGTATACATAGAAACATAAAAAGAATGATTTTCTTAAAACTTTTAAATCAGAATATTTACATAAGATGAATATTGTGACTTACTATATAATAGAATTCTTGGAAACTGAACTATGTACTATTAAGTGTAAATCATATCTGTTAAGATTTTTTCTATTTTTCAACAATCTTTAAATTTCTACTAAGTATAGTTTGCATAACGATTGAGTTACTTACCTCGCAGGAAGTTAAGCAGAAGCTCAGAAATAACAAAGCAGCATGAACACGCTTCATGTTGGAGGTGTTCAGAATCCGTGTCTCTGCAAAAGACTGGCCATCCCAGGGTCTTCTGAAACTTAATTTTTAACCTCTGAAAAAATATTTAAAAAGAGCAAGCTTCCTACACAGCTTTGTACTTTTGAACTCTTAAAGGATTTGGCTAAAATCCAGAGTTTTACGAAATGTGCTTTTCCCAGAAAGTAGCTGAGAAAGGCGGCCAATCAGCAGGGTTTCCTCTAAAAGCCGCAGAGTGACCCGCTGGGCTGAGGAACAATGCCTCAGTTCTGTTTTCCAGGGGAAACACAGAGCACTCTTGAAACAAATTTCTTTCTCTTTAATGAAATTACATTTTGCTCCTTAAGTTTAAAGACTAGGAGATGGTAAGAATAAAGATATATCATTGAAAATACTTCTAAATATATGGAAAATTCGTTATACTGTTTTGAATTATGTTCTCTGAACACAGTCATGGGGAGTATGGTAATGTGTCTTTTACTATAATAATTTTTTAAAAATTTAATTCACCATATTTTTCTCACATTGTGGAGTCCTCTATAGTTTCATTGTTGCAAAATATCATACTTGTTGACAACTAATACATATTTGCATGCTATTGCAAATAATGTTATTTTAACTTCGTTTTTGTTGTTGATTGTATTTAGATTGGACTCATGGTGATTTTCCCGTGTTCAGCCTCCCAAACTCTGGGATTACAAGCGTGTGCCACCATGCCTAGTCTCGTCTCTGTCTCAGTGCACCTCGGGGGCAGGGCTGGAATGGCACGCCAGGGGTCCAACCCTGACCACTGCGTTCTGTCTAAGAAGTCGCTTTAGTCCACTGAGTTATCTGGCCAGCCCATTATTTTAACTTTGAATCAGAAATATCACTGTGAACTATAATTTCTTTCTAAAATTATGTGCCTCCAGCTTTATCCATTGATAGGGTCTGGAAGTCATGGAGTTTAGAGGCTGGGAGATGGCTCAGTGGAATAAGCACTTCCCTGGCAAGCGCAAGGGCCTGAGTTCAATCCCTGGTTGAAAAAAAAAAAAAAAAAAAAAAGATGTTACAGCATGGAATTTAGAGGCGATTGTCTTTCCTGCATAATATTTTAAAAAATTAAAAAGCTCCTTGAAGAAAGTCTGGTCTCACACCTAAGGCAGGCAGTGTACCTGGTAAAGGGGTTAAAGAGAGACATTTATGCCACAAAGCTATTAGACACTGGTTAGTGATACTAACACAGGATCTGGATTGAACAGGATCCCATAAGCCAAAGGTTAAGAACTTTAAGCATCAAAAAGGAAAATTTTTATATATTGAAATAAACTATTTTCTAAAGTGAAGGACTTCACAATTGCTAGTTGCAGGATTAATGACAGACCGAGCAAGTCCCACTTGCAGCACCTAATATGCTCGTAGGTCTAGGTATGATCATCAGTAGCTGCTAAACCATTTGGTGAAAAGCTGGCCAGAACTAACAGATGGGTCAGACCTATCGATCAAAAGGCAGATAGACAGAGCTCTCCTCATGGATGGCCCAACTATTGTTCTTCGTGGAAAGGACTTGGGGACGGGTGAATCTGAATGTGATTAAGTCTTCAGAACTTACCACCAGTTTACAGGGAACCCAGGGAATGAGAGAGCATGATTTGTGTCACCATGGGGCTACAGTCTTGGAGAAAATGGGAAGCGACAAGAGAGTCGTACATGCCATGAAATATAGAAAAAAAGAGAGAAGGACTGAGGCTGTAGCCTAATGGGAGTGCTTGCTTAGCATGTGCAAGGCGTGCAACACCATGGCTTCCTCTGCAACACACACACACACACACACACACACACACACACACCACATTAGATAAAGAGACATGAGAGACATAACAGTACAATGCAATGTAAGTATGGACATGGACCTAGTTTTGATCATCCGTTGGTTGAATCATTTTTTTTTTTTTTTATATTTAGTACAGGGTCTACAGGGTCTCACTATATGGAACAGACCTGTAGTGATCTTCCTGTTTTTAGCCTCTCGAGCTCTGGGATTACACGCATGTGCCACTACACCCAGTCTCAATCACCATCTCAGTGCACCTTAGGGGCGGGGCCAGTACGGCAGGCAGGGGATCAAACCCAGGTCCCTGTATGTGCCTGAGCAGGTGCTTTAATCTGCTGAGCTACCTGGCTGGCCCTGAACCATTAAAATTTTTTGAAAAAAGTATTTTTTAAATAACTTGCAGACAATATATGTTAACTGGATATCATATGTTATTGTTGTGTCTAGTTGTTCCCCCAAAACCTCATGCAGTTATGGGGTGGACTTCTAGAGTTTGTGATAAATTCATGATCCAGTGCTGGGATTATGGGCATGAGTGCTGCTGGGATTGTGAATGTGAGTGCTGATGGGATTATAGGTGAGTCCTGCTGGGATTATGGGCGTGTGTACTACACTGGCCTGTGGGGCGATAGCCTGAATGCAACGTAAGGGAGGCACACTTGCCATTGTTGCAGCTACTCCTCTCTTTCGTTCTTGCTGTTTTGCTATTTTCCCCACCATGAAAGTTGCCCTCTGCCATGTGCGAATGCCTTTGGGGCCAGCCAAGCACAGACTGAAACCTGCACTAAATGTGAGTTAAATAAACCTTTCCCTCCTTGATTTTGGTGTCATCCTTACGTTGGCCAGAATAAACTCTTGTTGTTGTATTTGGTGTATTTCAAGTTGGCCTCTTAGTCAACTATACTTTCTGATCACCTGTGTCTTAAGAACATGACCAACAGTCCAGTGTTGTGAATTTTGAAGGTGAAGTAAGAGATGGAAGCAAATTCTAAGCTTGAGGATTTGTGATGGATGAATAGTGAGGAAGAGTTCCAAGTTACAAATGCAGGCCTGGCTCCAGAAATAAGGAAAAAGCACTTCACTACAAATCATAGTGCAGCAAGAGTTGCTTTTGAGTGGCCTTGGAGGTCCAGAATAAATTATTTTTAATTCACCTTTAATAAAATGGTCCAGAGAGCAAGTTATCGAGTAATAGAGCTTTTTGACCATAAAAGAAAAAAAAAATCCCACCATTATTAGAACCTTTATTATTCTGGCATGCAGAGGTATGAAGAATGAAATGTTAGAACATGATATAATAGAAAAAATAGGAGGGCTTCCCTTTTGGGGTGAGAAAAATTCATGTGACTGATGACACATCACCTGAATACTAAACAGCATCAAATCCCCCAACAACTTCTTATGCAGGCTGACAAGTCATCAGACTTGAACAATGGCAGCATCTGTAAGATTTATAAGCTATGATTAAATTCCAGAAAACTTTTCTGCAATAAAATATTGCTCAAACAAGCAAAGGAAAGGATAAAGTTAATGCCGTCTTCATATTGAGAGTAAAAAGTCTATCTTGGATGACAGATCTATTGATCTCTGCCAATGATGGCTCACCAGTGATGATTCCAATTGGTTTCGCCCCTTCTGAAAAATAAAATTCATCTGTGTTTACGATACATTGCTTGCTTCCCAGAGAAATGCTGTTGTTGGATGCTTTTGGATTTGAAATAAAAAGGTCTGGATGACATAAAAATGGCTAGCCTTGTCAAACACAGGCTATTGTACTCAAGAATGGTTTTAAATAAACTGTGTGGCCATCTCCTGCCACATGCATAAATCTTATGACTTAGTAGAGCATTTGTTCTGGGGGAAGCAGTTGCCATACCCTACAAACACTCAGGCACTCCATAAAGAGGCCCACAGAGCAAGGCACCAAGGCCCCCTGCCTATGGGCCTCCCCCAGATCTCAGCAGGCCCCATCAGGAAAGGATCCAAGATCCTAGTCAAGACTTTGGATGACTGCACTCGTGATCAATATTTATTTTGTTTATTTTTTTTGGGCGGAACTGGGGATTGAACTCAGGCCCTTGTGCTTGCCAGGGAAGCGCTTACTCCACTGAGCCATCTCCCTGGCCCTCTATTATTATTATTATTTTTTAAAATCATATGAACAAGTTGAGGGAGTATCTTCAAGGCCCTAAGAAAAATACTTGGATTCAAAGTGATACGATTCTTAAGTTTAAACAGAAATCTAGTCTTTGGAAAAAATTATATGGCAAAAAGAATCTTGCGATTGTTTCACTGCCACCTACATTTGTGTAGAAATGTCTCAAAATTTTACAGAAAACCACTTAGGGGAGTTGCAGGAAAATGGTGAGTGGTATTTCGCTTCTTTGATAAGCAATTTATGGGGCTGGATGAAAGCCCTTTTCTGGTTTCCTCAGCCTGACTACTGACTTTGAGAGGAAGAGCTCTGAGAGTTTATGACTGTGAATACCTGATAATTCGCACCGATCTGCCTTCTTGTATGTTCTGGATTTCTGTGAAAGGAAAGTATTCTGCCAGTCATCAGAAAAAAATAAACAGGGCTGGCGAGATAGCTCAACATAATTAAATCGCCTACTTAGGCAGATGCAGGGACCGGAGTTCCATCCCCTGCTTGTCATGTTGGTCCCGACTCCTGGGTGCACTGAGATGGTGACTGAGACTGGGTGTGGTGGCGTGTGCCTGTAATCTCAGTGCTTGGGAGGCTGAACACAGGAGGATCACTACAAGTCTGATCTACGTAGTGCCTGTGTGTGGGGTTAGACCTTGTACTAAATGTATTTGTAGAAGAAGAATAAAAGGGGGGGGGCTGGGGAAATGGCTCAGTAGAATAAGCGCTTCCCTGGCAAGCGCAAGGGCCTGAGTTCAATCCCTGGTTCTGCCAAAATAAATAAATAAATAAAAGAATAAACAATTTGCCTTAGTTTTTCGACTTCTTTGGGCCTTCACAGTAAAAGTGAAGGTCATAGCAATTCAGTTGAAAATGAAATATGTGTGCTAATATCAAGTTCAATGTAGAACTGAGTGAATGTACACAAAAGATAATTATCCCAATTATTTCATAATAGGTAAATTGCTTATGTATATCTAGGTCTATACAAGGAAACCAACATTCATTAAAATCAAACATTTATTACATGGAAAGTTGAAGCCTCATTTGTATTGGAGCTGATATTCTTTGTGAGTTAATATTTTTTTTGTTAGTTAATATTATCTGGCAAAGTAGGCAAACAAATTGAACAGAAAATAAAAACTAAAACAAGAGCTGCACATGGTGATGCACACCTGTAGTCTCAGCTAGTTGGAAGGTTAAGGCAGGAGGATTTCAAGTTTGAGGCCAACCTGGGTAACTTAGCAAGAGCTTGTCTGAAAATAAAATCTTGAAAAAGTGCTGGGAATGTAGTTCAGTGGTAGGGTTCTTACTTGGCACAGTGAGGCCCTGGGTTCAATACCCATGACCACTCCCCGCAAACGTCCAGCTTCACAGGAAAACGTTATTTTCTACTCAAACAGAACACAAGGGACAATCAAATAGCTCAGCAGATTAGTGCCTGCAAGCAGGCGCAGGGGCAGGGGTTTTATCTCAGGCCTGCCTTGCTGGCCCTGCCTCCAGGACTTGCTGAGATGGCAATTGGGACTTGCTGAGATGGCAATTGAGACGGGGTGTGGTAACGCAAGCCTGTAATCCCAGCTCTTGGGAGGCTGTAAACAGGAGGATCACTATGAGTCCGATCCAGTAATGATACCCTGAACACCCTGTGCACCCTTCCCTAAAATACAACAATGTAGATGTACTTAATATCCTGATCTGTACCTTTAATGACTGTGGTAAATTTGATGTTAATGGGAATTTTGCCATAGTGAAAAGAAGAACACAGACATGGGCTAACAGTGCCTGTGTGTGAGGTGGAGGTGGGATGATCACTTGAGCTCACAAATTCAAGACTGCTTGGGCAACGTAGTGAGAGCCTGTCCCAAGTATCAACCATCTTTTTAGGTCATTGTATTTAAAACTTGCACATCACACTAGTGTGTGTGTGTATATATATGAACACATGCATTTTTTATGCAGATGCTCTGGTGACAGGACAATTATTTTTTTTTCTTTTCTTTCTTTTTTTTTTTTTTTTTTTTTTTTGCAGAACTAGCGATTGAACTCAGGCCCTTGCACTTGCCAAGGAATAGTGCTTATTCCACTGAGCCATCTCCCTGGCCCCATGGACAATTATTTCGAGTTCCTCCTGAATAAAAAGATTAAAATGCTTTGGACTATTGGCCAGAGCTTCTCCAAGCAGAAAGAATTGTTTAACAAAATGGAGAAATAGAAGCAAGGCTCTGGTGCTGGACTGATGGGGTGGATGGGCAGTGTACAACAGGAGGAAACAGAATCCCAGAGGAAGCTTAGAGGAGGGACAGCTTTCAGACAGGATGCTGAGGGAAAGGAAAAGCTATATGGGTCCTGAGAATGGGAATGGTAGAAAACTATTCCAGTAAGCTCAGAACATCACCTGGTACGGTACAGAGAAGAGAAAGAAGTCAGGTCTGAAGCAGCAAGGATGCTCAGAATGCGAGATTTTGAGTTCACACTCAATTCTGGACAGCTGGATTCATGTACTGTGTGATTTCAGGACAAGAAGTCTTCAATTGGTTGGTGAGGGTACAAAGTTACCTAAGCAGAGTAGAAATTGCTAACTCAGGATCAAAGAGATTTGCACCACCTAAGGATAAGGTCGGGATGATGATGAGAATGACAGGAAAGGAGGAGAGTGCTCAAAAATTTGGGTTCACAGATTAGAAATTAAAGGACGAAGCTATCAAATGGAGTGCTGAAAAGATGAACAATTTGGAAGGAGGAAGGCTCCAGGAAGGGTGTTTGGGCAACAGGACTGAGGATTGTGAGGATTCAAAGTTCAAGTTTGCCTTTGTATCTAGCCAGGGGAAAGTAACTTCCGTTTTCCAAATGCTGGTTCATTACTTGCAAAATAATAATGGGTGATCTCTGAGAAATTTTTTATCAGCATATATTTGCCATACATAAGGACTGAGTTCATCAAAGGGAATTTGAACTTGTACATAATACGTTGAAACTTTTGTTCCCATTTCCTTCCCCTCCCTTCAACCTCTCCCTCCTCAGGCAACAGGTGGTCTTGAAGGCCTCATATTACAAGTTCAGCGGTTATATCAGACTGAGTTTGAGGTAAGAATAGGGCATCAATTTCTTATTACTGAAAATGACGGTAATTTATTTATTTTTTTTGTATTTTTTAGTACAACGCCTACAAGTTCTCACTACTAGATCAGACTTGCAGTAATCCCTGTTTACAGCCTTCCAAGAGCTGGGATTACAGGCGCGCACCACCATGCCCAATCTTAATCGCTGTCTTGCTGCGCTTGCCTAAACAGGCACTTTAGTCCACCATCTGGCCAGCCCTAATAACGGTAATGTGAAGCACTGAACTTAGTATTATCGTAAATGACAATGCAAAATAGAGGGGCAGGGCTGGTGAGATGGCTCAGTGGTCTAAAGAACCTACTTAGAACAAGCTTAGCAAAGCACGGGACCGAAGTTCAATCCCCCAGCACCACAAGCCAGCCAGACCCGCCCCCTGGTGGGTTGAGCTGGCCACACACAGGCACACACACACACACATAAATAATAAAATTTAAAACAAAATAGAGGGGCAGTTATGAAAAATTCTATGCCTGTATGATGTACACAATTTAAGGTAAATTTGAATTAAAAGTATGTTTGAATTAAAATATATTTATCAAATTCTTTTTCTATAGAGCTGTTAAAGGCTCCTTCCAGAACCTTATACTTTAGTGCAGATGACATATCGGAATTCCTATTTTCCCAGTAAAGTTTAGAGAAGTCTTTCAAAATTCCCTTTACAGTGACTTGCTGAAATAAGGTACCAAAACCCATCTTCTCTTAAAGACGGAGTAGACTGGTCATATTTCAAGGTTGCGTCTCAGACCATTTGGGCATGACAGAGGTCAACGAAACTTAATAAATGAAGGTCAGTACTTTCAATAGAGGTTTTGGTGGTTGTGGAACAAGCTGATGTCAGACATAAACCACCTACCACAAAAGGTTAAAAGTGTGGCTTGGGGACTGGGGTGATAGCTCGGCGGTCTAAGAGCCTGCCGGAATTCGATCCCCAGTTCAGCATGCCATTCTGGTCCCGAACCAAGCAGGCCTCCGAAACCGGGTGTGGTGGCGCGTGCCTGTAATCCCAGCGCTGGGGAGGATGAGACAGGGGGATCACTATGAATCTGAGCTGAGTTGCGAGACCCTGTACTAAATAAATAAGTTTTAAAGATATGGCTTGGTTTTCTATAAGATAACACCATTTTTTAAAAGTACACACATAAACGCATGGTTTCTTTCCCTTAACTAATGTGACCACAGGACAAACGGACAACTACAATTAAGACCGCAAGAGCGCGTCGTTCAAAAGATGCTCGACAGCGCGCAGAAACTCCCTCGGCGGGCTGCGAGACCCTGCCGGCAGATGGCGGCTCAGGAGCCCTCACAGATTATGGCCACATTCTGCTGGCGACGAACTCATGGGCGAGGCTGGGGGCCCTGTCGCAGCCTGAGAAGCGAGAAAACCCCGTCAGTGGGCGCCCAGAACAGGAGTCAAGGCCCGGCATGGAGCAGCGTGCCTAACTCCGGGAATTGGACCCGCGTTCCGGACACCGCTGTTTCCTGGGGCAACACTTCCGTAAACGTCATAAGCAAGGGACGGCGACGTCACTTCCTGTGTTCCGCGGCGAAGTTGCTCTTACTGTCGTAAAGTAGTGAAGTTGGTGTTGCTTGTTTTCCAGTGCTGAAAGCTGTTTGGGAAAGTGTCACTGTCCCTGCATCCTCCAGTGACTGATGCTTTTGGCAAACCAGTTATTCGAGTTCTATTCTTTTTCAAAAGCCTGTGTTCCCGTACGGTGGCCGACGAGGTCGGCGCGGCGGAAGTGCCCAGCGAGTGGGTGTGCGCGCCGCGCCTGGCCCCGGTGCACGTGGCGCCGGTGAGTGGTCGCGGGAGCGGGACGGGGTCTGAGAATGCTGGGCGCGAGGCTCCGCTGCGGAAGGAGGGAGGCAGCGACGAAGGAGGGGATGCTGGGCACAGGCCGGGCCGCCCGCCGAGGAGCGAGGCCGGGCGGGGCGCGCTGGGGAGGCGCCTCTGTCCTGGGCTGCGGCCCCGCGGGTGGGCGAGGCGGCAGGGCGGCGGTAACGCTCATTCCTCCTAGAGCGTGCTGAGCAAAGCCCCGAGATGTCGTTTCGAGGCGGAGGTCGTGGAGGCTTTAATCGGGGCGGCGGCTTCAACCGTGGCGGCGGCGGCGGCGGCGGCGGCAGCAGCAACCATTTCCGCGGTGGAGGCGGCGGCGGGTTCCGAGGCGGCGGCGGCGGCAGAGGAGGATTTGGTCGAGGGGGCGGCCGCGGAGGCTTCAACAGGGGCCAGGACCAAGGACCCCCGGAGCAAGTAGTCTGTACGGCGCTTCCGGACGGAGAGCGGGGTTGGGTGGTGGTCGGGGCTGTCGCGGAGCGCGCCCCGCACCCGGCCGTGGTCGTACTGCAGCGTAGGAGATCGGGGACGCCGTCCTGAGGATGCCGGAAGCGCTTAGTGGAGGTTGAACTTCAGATTGAGCTGGAAGGATGACATTGATCGGGCAACTTTGGGTGCTTACTCCCATCTTAACACGTGAAAAAAATAAATTCAGAGTGAATTTTTGTGACGGCCCCGGGGTTTGAAATGAGACCTCGCGCTTGCCTGGCAGACGCTTATGCCGCTGAGCCATATCCCCCGCCTGAATGAGTCTTTTGTCAGGATCATAAATGAAGACAGAGTGGCTGGATTGGTGTGGAGGAGAGCCAAAGGGGGCAGCAGCTTGAGTCGAAGGCCCCAGCCATAAGCAGCGTTCTAGCAGTTTACATCTGAGTAAAGTACAGTCTTAGCAGGGTGGCAGGGAGAAGTGGAAGGTTGGGATAGGAGAGAAATTTAAGAGGAAACAATAAAGAGAACTTGCCTAATATTGGGAATAGAAAGTTCTGGGCTTTGAACTTGAATACTAAAAGTGGAAAGTTAGTTTTGTGGGCATGTATCGAGTATTGTAGTTTGTCTGTGGCAGAAATAAAAGTAGTTATTTTGGGATTTTGAACTTCCCTGCAAGAGAGTAAAAGATTAAAGAGGCCGGAGTAGGGACGGGTTCTAAAGTGAAAAAGACAAGTACAGAGAGTGATTGGAGAAAAGAAAAAAAAAAAAGAAATGTGATGTATACTAAAATTGTAATTGTCACAACAAGGTGACTGTCACAGCTTGGAAGGCCTCAGTCTAGCACATGTTATTGCACTTAATCCTGTGTTTGGTAAATATGACCTACATGTTATTGTGTTCATAAACGTAGATACATTAAGGACGCTAAAGCAGAGAGAGGGTGAGTACCTTCCCTTAGGTCGCGTAGCTGTTCTCCTGATAGCTCAGGAAGCCACACTGCTGCTATCTCTAAGTTTTCTGATGCAGAAAACAGATATAGTGAAACCCAGGGTAGCTAAGAAAAAAGCTTCCAGAGAGATTGGTTAATATCACCAGAAGTAGTTGCATGTTTTAATATTTTCTTGTTCTGTTTCAGTATTAGGAGAATTCCTGCATCCCTGTGAAGATGACATAGTTTGTAAATGTACCACAGATGAAAATAAGGTGCCTTATTTCAATGCTCCTGTTTTCTTAGAAAATAAAGAGCAAATAGGAAAAGTGGATGAAATATTTGGACAACTTAGAGATTTTGTATCCTTTGCAGTCCCCCCCCCCACAATTAAGTATAAATTAATTTTTTTGCTTCTTTAAGACAATGTTGCTACAAATTGGATCATAAGGAGAATCAAGAGGAGAGAAGGTATTCATCCAGATTACTGAAATGATAAGCTCTAGGAAGATGCCTTTATTTTGGGAAAGATCTAGAAATTATGGCCATTTTCATAAATGCCACAGGATTGAGTCGGTTGCTTAGGATATGATGGTGCCAACAGAGTATTGAAGAAATTGGAGGAGTTGAAGTGAGGGTTTTTGTTTTTTGTTTTTATGTATTTGGTACAGGGTCTCACCACGCAGTTCGCATTCTCACTGGTAGTGATCCTCCTGTTTTTAGCCTCCCCAGGGCTGGGATTACAGGCAAGCTTTACCACGCCCAGTATCAGTGGCCAGCTTATTGTGCCCCGCCTGGGCTCGTTGAGCAGCATGGGGGCTGGTGCGGCATGTCATGCTGGGGGTTCGAACCCAAGTCCCAATGCTTTCCTAAGCAGGCGTTAGTCCGCTGAGCTATCTTGCCGGCCCTTTGTTCTTTCTGGACACTCATTTGTCACCTTGCCTCTATATGCCTATACATTCTAACCTTGTTTTTAAAAGTTATGTATGAGTTCAGAAAGTTTAATTTTCCTTACTTTTGTATTTGTTTCTTAACAAAATCATTAGTACTTTTCAGTTAAATTGTCAGAAAACATGAAGGCATCTTCCTTTAAAAAACTACAGAAGGTGAGTCAAGCTTGTGATACCTAGGGAATGGCATACCTTAGGGCAGTCCTAGTTGGGGTACTTGAGCTCCTGATATTTCATTAGTGAAACCTCCCTGTCACCCAGTACTAGGGAGACCCCAGTATCTTCATTGTGAGCTACATCCCCCTGTTTTTTATTTTGAGAGACAGAGTTCTGCTAAGTTGTCCAGGCTGGCCTCAAACTTGTGATCTTGGTGCCTCAGCTTCCTATGTAGCTTGGATTATAATTGTGCCAGGCACTATTGGAAGCTTTTAAGTTGAGACTTCTATGTTATAAACATGGAGCCTATTTAAAATTCTTACTGAAAAGCTTGCATTAGCAAATACTGTTAGCATTCTAGAGCATTCTTTGAGAGAAGGTTGATACTAAAAGATTTCACAACAGCAGGATACGTGCTATGAAGGGCAAACATAGGCTGCTATGAGAATCTTGATAGTGGGCCTAAGTTTAACCTGTAGACCTGTCTGAGGCAGTGTTCCTGAAGCTGAGACCGAAGAGTTGACCAGGAGTGATTCAGGTGAAGGTTTTAAGAAGTCTTTCCAGGTCCCATTCCTTGAATTTGACTCTGTTGTTCTTAAGTTGAGCCCAGGATTCAATTTTAAAAAGGAAAAACTATTCATAATTTTGAAGTTCTTGGGAACAAGGGGGCTAGTCAAAGAGAGGAGAAGGTACATTCTAAGTAGAGAAAACAGCATGGGCAGCTGTTTGAGGCAGCAGAGGCCTAGAGATCCAGAAAAGGAAGAGGTAAACCTTGGCGTAGAACCTTCAGGCAGTGGAAAGTTTTGAACCAAGGCCTGTGAGGCAGGAAGGAGCTTGACTCAGTGCTTTGGAGTATGGGCAAGTGCTTAGGCTTTAATTTTTAAAAAATAGGGTAGTGTAGTTAAATCTATGCTGAAAGGGCGCTGTGGGAAAAGAGCACCTGGAAAGGGGGCGGCACTGTGAAGGGGCCAGGTGAATTGTTTGAACCATGTGGGACATAGTATTTGGGACAGGGTGGAGACCATGGACATGAAGTGTGAATGGATTTGTGAACCATGTAGAGGATAGAACTGGCAGGACTCGGTGATCAATGAAATTGAAGAACTCAAAAACAGCCATCCTGTGTCTCATGTCCAACCCAGCACCTTTGTGAATGATGGGATCGTTTTGGGAGGTGCTCAGCACTGGTCAGATGCAGAGTGTTGAAGGTACTTGGGGTTCAGATGAAGGCTGCTCATGAAGAGAGAATATGCAGCAGCCCAGGACAAAGCAGTGAATGCCCACGGGGGTGTTGGCGTCCCTCTGCCTTGCCTTGCCTTGCCTCCCCTTACCATTGAGCCCTTTGTTTAATGTTGAATCCAGCTAGCCCCACTTGGGCTCAGTGTTTTTGAGATGATAGGCTGCCTGGGGAAGTAGGGACTGAGGTGTCATACAGACAGCAAGATAGAACCCCTGTGTGTGTTGTGTAGAATTGAGTAACAGTGTGTCCTTACATTTCATTGTCTGCAGAATGTCTTCTTAACCCTCAGTGTAAGGGGTTTAATTTTTCTATTACCTATTACTTAATAAATTCAGTAAATTAATTTGAGTCTTTATTTTAATCATGAAGTACCTGGTCTGCCAATATTTTCTTCTGAGTTCTAATGCTATCTTTTTGGTAGCTGTATTTTTCTCCTGGCCGTTGCGTGAAACTGTTAACACTTTCAGGAGTCTGTTTATAAAGAAGGTGGATGGTTTATGTCTACATTTTTTAAAAATTAAAAAAAAAAAATCCCAAGGTCTAAGAAAGGATGTCTTTGCTCAGAGGTGCACCTTGGGAAGTGAGGGCATGGGATTGGAGCCCAGGGAGTCTTGATGGCTGTGCTGTCCCCTGGCTGTCACACTAACTGCTTCTCATGAACTCCAGTTTTACATAGATCCTTATAAGCTGCTACCACTGCAGAGGTTTTTACCTCGGCCGCCAGGTGAGAAAGGACCTCCGAGAGGTGGTGGCAGGGGAGGCCGAGGTGGAGGCCGAGGCGGAGGCCGAGGCGGAGGAGGCAGAGGTGGTGGAAGAGGAGGTGAGTTACTGCAGAGACAGTAAAGTGGAGTACACTTTACTGTTGTGTGTAGAAAACTTCCTGTATATTTATTCTTTTAATAAAGCTGCTTTCAGTATTGGTGCATTGCCCGTAATAATCATGCATTATTTCATCAACTTGAAAAAGTTCAATGAAGTATATTTCTGAGGGATTTCAGCGCTTGAGTTATGTTGGGGAGTTTTAAAAGTACAGCCATTCATCGCCTAACAGATCTTTCCGAGCACTGCCTTATTGGGCGGTTACGTTGTTGTGTGATTCGTGCTCACACAAAGTAGAAAGAGTACATGAAAATAAAGTAAAGAGTAAGTACAGAAACCAGTAACTCGTTGATTATAGCCAGTATCAAGCCCTGTGTGCTGTGTAGAGCCGTGTGCATTGTACCTTTATGCAGCCATGCTGCAGCAGGTGTGCTGACAGCAGCGTGAGTGGGAACGGGAATGCCACTGTGCTCTGCAGTGTCACTGGGTGGGGGCCGTTCACGCTCGGATAATGTTGTGTGGTCACTGCCTCACACAGGGTCCTGTACTGACTGACACATTCTGTACTACACGACTATCCGAAGATAATTCTAACTGGGCTTTAGTTTCTTAGTTAACTGTCATTGAGTATGGTTTATATTGTAAGAGCTGGCCTTATAGTTTAATAGTCCTCTCCTTTTAATACCAGCAAAACTTTCAAGTTAGGGGGAACACTTATTTTAGGTGTAAGGAATTGCAGTCCCACAGAATTTAATTTGACATAATTGAACAATTCTGAGCAGGCCGAGAAGGAAGACTCCTGTATTCTGATGTGCCAGGAGCTATTACCACTGTGGGTGCTCCTCAACTTAAGATGGGTCACGTCCCAGTAGCCATGCGGGGGTCTGTTAGGCCGAGGCCTCTCAGCAGCAAGCCTGCCATCCCTTGTTCCCATGTGACTCAGGAAGGCTTAACCAGGAAAACTACTCACTTTGCCTCCCTTTGTTCTGGGAAATATAAAGCCTCGGTCCAGTCAAAGCTACTCTTTTAAAAGTGTTATGGTTTGTGCCTTGATGTACCCCTAGAGCCTCATTTGATCATAGAAATTTTTCAAAGGTGGCTGAATCTAAAATTTGTAATTGATTTGTAGTGCAGTGCTGTGATTAGGGGTGCTGGGATTAAGGGTGTAGGATGATTTCTGGATCAGTCTATTGATTCGATTGGAACAACCCCAATCTTAGCAGTATGAATAAAATAAAAAGAGCAGAAAAACAAACAAAAAAAAAGTGCTTACCATAAACAAAAGCCAAGGTAATCGAACATTTAAGAATAGGACTAAGTCACACTTGCAGTAATAAGCTTTTCCCACTCATCAAAGAGTGCTGACCTAGGGTTTTTCCCTGCCACCCGGTGGAAGCTGTTAGTTTCTCTGTTTTATCTTTTAAAATCTGTGTAAGGTAATATATTTGTTTGTAGAAATAGTATAATCCTTGCAGGCTTATCAGGTTGTGAGAGGCTCCTTTTACTTAATAAATGTTTCCTTTTTAGGTGGATTTAGAGGTGGAAGAGGAGGTGGAGGTGGAGGCTTCAGAGGAGCGAGAGGTGGTGGATTCCGAGGTTTGAGAAAAATGGCTTTAAATGACTAAATGTTCAGAACTGTATTGTCTGCCAGTTTCTCTTTGTATGTACATTCGTCTCTCCTTGCCAGCAAATATTACACTGTTCTGTGCTTTAGCATGACATATAGTCTTAATTTATATGACTTGCTTTTCTTTTTTATTGCTTCCCTTTTTAACTTCTTTTGCTATATTATTAACTTGAAAAGTAGCGATGGTGGATATGAGTAGCAGTTACATTTGGCTAGGTAAATTTACTAAACCTTGTGAGAACTAATGTGCTCTTAAGCTGAGATTTGGGTGACAGTACTGTTGCAAATCTCTTCTCTGTTCTTAACCCTTTCATTTTCTCTTGACCAGGGAGAGGGCATTAGCTGTGCCCACTTCTGCAGGGACTTCTGCGGTACCCGAGTGGTCTCCATGGTGCATCCAAGCTGCGCATCTGGAACAGGTGTCCAGGTGTGGCTGCCAGCCACAGTGGGGCTGAAGTGTCGGTGTCCTGCAGCAGCGGAGGGCAGGAGAGTCACTCTTGCTCTGGAAGAGCAAGAACAAGGCTGATCCTTTGTGCCTGGCACTCTGGGTGCTCAATACTCAGACAGGAGCTGTCATTGGAATCCTGTTTCAATTTTTTTAAAATAAAATGTTTTATTCCTTTAAATTATTCAGAATGTATTTATTGAACCAAGTCTATTTTTGAAATTGGGAGAAGCAGCTAACACGTAAACCCAGTGAATTACAGAGCAAAAGAAAAGTTACTTATACATGCTACTGCTGTATTAGAGAAGTAGGCTGCGGGACAGGTATAAAGTATTTATAAGACAACATCTCTTTCAAAATTTTTTTTTTTTTTTCTTTTTAGGGAAGGGTCTACAGGGTGTTCAGAGTCTTACTACTAGATCAGACTCATAGTGATCTGCCTGTTTTATAGTTTCCCAAGAGCTGGGATTACAAGCGTGTGCCACCATGCCCAGTCAGTTGCTATCTCAGTGCGCCCCAGGGGATGAGGCTGGCACAGCAGACCTGGGGATCAAACCCCAAACCCCGGCCCCTGTGCCTTGCAGGTGCTTTAATCCGCTGAGCTATTTGGCTGGCTCTTTCAAAATGTTAACGTTTTGTGAGACCCTTAATGATCTTTCAGGTTCTGATACATAGAGTAACAGTTCTTGTAACTGAAATTAATAGTTGATACAAAAGTATTAATATTAAAAATTTAGTAGGTATTCAAGGGAGAATTATATATAGTTGAAGTTTCTGAATAAATTTTTTCTCATTCACTAAGTGAATTATTGAAATTTTAAGCTCATTTTTTAAATAAAGATTTAAGATGTTACTCACCCTAAGTGTATATTGGTGGCCTCGTCCATGTTCAGATTCCTAGGGAGGTCTCACCAGTGAAATCGGGTTAGGTTACTGTTGTAGGTCAGGAAATAACATGATAGAATGTTGTGCTTATGCTATGGGGCCATTTACCAACTATCAGTGATTTTGTTCCTTGAGTTCATTGTTGAATTTCTTGGCATGAGTGATTAGCTTTAGTCTTCATTTGGGTAGCATATGATCTTGCATACAGCACTCTTTGAGTTTTCTTCACCCTTTTTTTTTTTTGGTACTGGGGATCAAATTCAGGATCTTGTGCTTGCTGCCCAGGTGCTTATGCCACTGAGCTGTGTCCCCAGCCTTTCTTAGCCCTTTTAGTGGAATTGCAACAGGATTAACAAGCCATAGATCTATATGATAAGTATGTTGAAAATTAGTTTTTCATAGGAAGAGGTGGTTGTGCTTTTATAGCTTAAGAAAGGTACTTTATTGTTTCAAAATCCTTGGAGTATTGGAGCCATAGTTTTTACTTTTGTTTTGTAAATGTGCTAGCACTAGTAGGACATGACCTTGTCCACAGTGTAAGGAGTAATGCAACCTTACTGCAGTTTTACTAGTATCTAAAAAATACATAAACCACTTAGACTTTACCCTAAGAAGGCCACTGGTCATTTTCTAGTGTTTTATAATTCCAAATATTTTTCCCTTTTTATCCTTATTGTACAATTCCAGGTTTGGGCATTTTGTTTTGAATCTGGTTCATATATTTATGAGCCAATCTTAATGAGGTTAGTAATGTAATGATTATTGAGTGTCATAAGAGTTTGATGAGCACATTTTATACTTAATAACTTTCTGATCATGGGCTGGTGAGATAGCTCAGCAGTCTAAAGTGCCTGCATAGGCAAGCACGCAGGGGTGGAAGTTGGATCCCCAGCACCATGTACAGCCCCAGCCCTGCCCCCAGGGTAGGCTGAGCTGGCCACACACACACAAAAAAAGTTCTGATCACATTCATGGTATTTGATGTTATGGTAATGAACTAGTTTAATGGAATACAAACTTTCCTGTTTTTTTTCTGAAATTTTGGGAAGAGTTAGGAGAGGATAAGAGGCTGATTTAAGAAGGTGTCTGAGTCTTCTCATTGCCAGGACAAATAAATGATATGCAAAATTAGGGAAGGAGAGGCTTAGCTCACAGTTACTGGAGGTTTCAGTCCATAGTCTCTGGCTCCAAGGCAGAGTGGCACAGGGTAGAGCACCCATTCAGGGTGGCAGCAAAGGGCAGAACAAAGGAGTGGCGGCAGGTAGCTAGCCTCTCCTTATATTGCAATGCAGAGTATCTGCCCCAGAACACTCTCACCCATAATCCTAGCATTGGATCAAGAATCCTCCCAGACTCCAGAAGCCGCCCCATGACCCCATGGCCACATGAGGCTTGGGAGGGGCACCTAGACATAAACCATAACAGAAGGCTGTGAAATTTTAGAATTGTGAGGTACCTAGACATGTTCATAACTTTCTGAGTCCTTGTAAGCCTCATCCTAATACAGCTTTTCTGTGTCAGTACTGAAAAATACTTTGACCTACCACACTTGTGTCTAAGCCTCATCTGTGGCACCTTTGGAATTCTTTTTATTTTTTCAGTTCTTGTAAGTAGAAATAATTATTTCTGGCACATTGAGAATGATTGTTACAGCTTTGTATGATTATTACAGAAAAGGGAGTAGGAGCCAAAGTAAATTTTAAATATTTTAGATATTTTTATTTTGCATACTGAATAGAAAGATGCAAATCCTGACAGCAAATAGGCTTTTAAAGAGTTACTATGTTTGTTGCTTTAGAGTTACTGAGAATATTTTTTTGCTGTGAAATACTGATGAGATTCACTTCCCTGGCATAGGAGCTGTTCAATTTTACTTTCTGTAAATTTGAGTCCTGCAAAGAAAAAAAGTCCCGGTAGCTGTAGGATTTGGGAAAAGATCCGCCAGTGTGCTCATCTGAAGTTTACATTGGGATGAGAGAACAGGCCAAAGGGTTTTCTGGGGCTCCGTAAGTGGGCACATACAGCCCTCTAGTGGTTTCGTTCAGTGCTTATACTACTTCGTGTTAAGCTTTTCTCTGAAATTTTGCTGGTTTTATGATGCTGAGAAGAATCACATTTTAATGATGTTAAATACATAGCATAAAAAATGAAGAAAGGAAGGAGCAGTAAGGATGCCTTGGCATTCTAACAGTGCAGGTTTATATTAGTTGTAACCCACTTTTCAGGTTAGCACATGATAATCCAGAATATTAGTATACCATGCACTTACCACTTGATTGAATGACTGAATGCAGGTCCTTGGCTGGTGCTTTCTTTCATCAGATAAATTAATTGCTCATGTGCATATCAAAGTAGAGTAAATGAACTGAGGTAGGTAGTGGAGTTGACCATGGTTATCCATACTGTACAGAGAAATTTACAGATATTAGTACAATCCTTCATCTCTTGGATGTGTGTTTGTATTAACATACATTTATATAAGCAGTGAAAAGCATAAGAAAGGATTTACACCAATATTGGTGTACATTGGTACCTTTCGGGGCGTGAGAATTGAAAATATGGGGAGGTACTCTTGTCCTTTAAATTGTTATAAAGGTTAAAGGACCTGCAATGGAAAAGCTGAAAGGACCAACAAAACAGACTTAAGTGGTTCTTAACTTCTGACATCAGTTGGTTAGCACCTGCACCAGTTTTGAGGGCTTATTTAGTGTTGAAAAAGGGTGTGTGCTTGATAATCTGATTACAAGATTGAGGCTGAAATTGGGGAAAATTGGTGCTTAGTATTTCTTTGTTTGGCTAATAAGCTTTTCCCTTGCCTGGGAATTAACATCTTTTTCTCTGCGGCCCAATTAAATCCAAGGGAGGGTCTCTATGCAAAGGCCCTTCTTTGAGGTCTCTGGGTGGAAGTAATTGGTCCTTCAAACAGTTCCTAATTATCAAAAGATTATTATGAAGGCTGCCTCCATATTTCCCCCTCCAGAATGCTAAGGAATAGTTCAAGTAACAGTTCTCAAAATGAAGATGGCTTGGTCTTCTCGCAGACGGAACATAACATTGTGGCAGCTTACCTGATTGTGGCAGGTACGGCTTTTACCCTAGTGCTGTTAGGGAGCCGGGGGTTTTCAGCAGCAGGCTGAAAATAAGGTTCACATTTTAATGATGTTAAAGACATAGAATAAAAAGAAGGCCCACTTATTTCATGGGGTGAGTCAGGCTTAGCCTTTATCTCTGCTCTCTAGAGCAAAGAAGAGTGTGTGAGGGGAAGAGCATTGTTAGTGGAAGTTACTGTCCTGGGATACTGTGATAAATAACCTCAGGCGCTGAAAAGGGGCTGTGAAATTTTTTATAAATGTTTTAATACAATCATGACTTTGGTTATTACACTGTCTAAGTCTTTTGGGAAAAGTGTATTATGACAAAATTATATTTTTATATTGTTTGCTTCTCCTGTGTCTTTCACAGATTTTCTTTTGTAATGGTGGAATCTAGCTAAAGACTGAAAGATTCTGGAAAGAATATTAAAGTCCCCAGAGGAGCAGCAGTTGTTGTCCTTGAGGACAGTTAGAACATTCAGCTCCTTCCAGAAACTCTTGAGCTCCGAATTTTGTCTTTTAGTATCTTTAACATTGCAAGCCAGCTCCTTTGCCTTTTAGTTGTTTCAAATGAGCTATTTAACATGGTTATTGTGAAGAACAGAAGGACTGATAACCTCATGTTAATGCAGCAGCACAAGATGGCCAGTACTTCTGATAAAGTCATCTCTGCAGACAAAAAGAACCAGAGGAGATGACAGAAATTCTTGTCTTTAACATATTCACTTAACTGTGGTATGATATACTATGCAATCACTTTACTTCTGACTTTATTTATTTTTTAATTTTATTTATTTATTTTTTCAAACTGGTAGGACAGTTTCAATAATTAACACATTGCATACATTCCTCCCAGTGGTTAATTGCTGTACAAGATACTTCTGACTTTATAGTTAGTAACAAATTTTAGAAGTAGGTCATATTTGGGTTATTATTTTTTAATTAACTTTTACAAAAAAATTTCAGAAATGTTCCAAAGTGGAGTGAAAGGATAGCATATCTTTTTCTTTACGATCATGCTTTTTCCTCATAGTTTGCAGCTAGAGTTGGTACTTCTTTTCTAGAAATTGTGAACTTCCTTAACTAATTTTCATATGTTAACTCATTCATTTGACTACTTCTGTATGATAATTATGCGACATGTTCTTTTTTATTGTTGCAAAAATGAGACAACCTTATCGGATTTACGTGGAAATGCTTTGTATATAATTCTTTGGATTCAGCTAATTTTTTAAATAGGTGACCTAGAAAGCTATCCAACATTGATCTTATTTATAAGAGTAGCGTGGAGAGGAAATTTCCCAAGAAAATGTTCCATCTGGTTCTTATCCTTATAATGGATGTAATAGTCTTGTTACCACTACTGAAATTATTTGAATTCCTGATATATACCGAACATTGTTCTAAATCCTTATAAGTACCGAATAATTCATCCTTACGCTAACTCAGTGAGTTACTTTTAATTTTATTTCCTGTTAAGAAATGTGCCCAACACATCACTAAGAACTGCTGCTGGATTTGAATGGAGGCATTTTGATTCTAGATTCTACTGTTCTTCAGATCCCCTGATTTTCCTAATTTAACAAAATCCACTTACACTCCCAAATCCAAAGCAAAACTTGGAGAAGAGAATGCTGGTTTCACTGTGGCACTTTCATAAGGTCTGGCAACATACTTTGTTCTCTTAACCTTCCCTCAGTCTTTTCCAGCACTCTGACCCCTTCCTTTTCTCTGATGGCCTCCCTCTGCTTTGCAGTTTAACCTTTCAGTTAAGCTGAGAAGTAAAAGGTTATGGTGTATTTGAAAACCTGAGAGAATCCATAATGGATGAATTACACAATGAAATGAGAGGGAGAGAGAGGTAGACCACATGAAGACCACTGCTGTAATCCTGAGGAGGGAAGAAGGGGAGGCTGTGTGGGCAGAAGGCCTGGGGGAGACAGAGCGAGAGCGTGAGAGCTTCTGTGCGCTGGTGTGTAGATGGTGGTGCTGTTCTCCAAGACAGGAGCACACCCTGGAAGGCTAGGCTTGCAACAGGAGGAAGTGACTCTGTTCACTTAGCGATGTCCAATAAAAATCTGGACACAAGCCCTTGCATTTTATGGCATCCATCTTGGGTATAAAGAAATCATTCAGAAGATGTTCATTGAGAAAAGGAAGGCTCTGGGACAAAAGTTGGACAGTATACATATTTAATAAGGTAGAGTTGAACTTCAAAGTCATTAAGAAGGCTCTGCCACTGAGTGGAGCTACACTGCCAAGGGGAAGTATTTCCAAAGGGGTTAATAAGTGCTGCTTCGAATTAGACTGAGTGAAGAGATGTAACTAAGACCTAACTGATAGATGACATCTACAACTAGGGACATAGAATGTGTGAGGCAGCTACATAGAGAATAAAGGGCTACAGTTTTTGTGCAATGCCCCTATTACATGTAATACCCTTCCCAAGTTTTATCAACTTTGGTTACTATTGAGGTTTGTACTTGTTAGATGACAGTTTATTTCTCTGTGCTTTTAAAAATCATCAGACTTGTTGCTAACCCAGAAAGTGTTTTCCATTTTTATCAGTATTTCTTGTACATGGGCTACCATATTAGATGCTAAAATAAGACCAGAACATCAAATCAGCTATCATTGTGTGTTAACTGTTTGAAGAATAATAACAATTAAACTTAATTAAAATTTAATTAAATTTAGATACATAAATACATACTTAACTAAGTAAGATACATGTCAATACTGAAAGGACTAGAATTAATATAAAGTCTACCCGAGAAGACTAGGAATGTGTAAGAGTTAAGTGCTACAGGATCACATAAGATTAAGTGTGCTATACCTAAGTATAGGGTGTTTAGGGAGGAGACCCAGTGCGGTGTGTAGAACGCTTTGGGCTGAATTGGGCTTGGGCTGAACTTTGACAGATGGCTGGTTTTGGGACATATAGAGGGAAGGAGCAGAGAATTTCAAGTGGGAAACATATTAGTCAAGATGTACAATAAACTCAGGGTATTTGATGAATAACCAGAATAAGGACTTTGTTAGACATGTGTGGAGCCAAAAGAGGGTGACAGCAGATTGAGACAAAGAGCCCGGGTGGACATTTAGCTTTTATCACACCAGTAGGGAGAATTTTTTTTTTCTTCTTCTTCTTTTTTTTTTTTTTTTTTGGCTGGCTCAGGCTGCCCTAAGGGCGGGTCTGGTGTGGCATGTGGAGCTGGGGATTGAACCGCAGTCCCTGGCGCCTGACTGGGTTTGTCCATGCAAGTGCTCAAACAACTGAGCTAACCAGCAAGTTCTCCCCACTCCCCACCAGTAGAGAGGAGACAGAAGTTCTGAGAAGAGCCACAGTTAATTCTGTGTTGTATCAAGCTTATTCTACCAGCAGGATGGAAAGGAGAACAGAAACCAGGAAGATGAATGTAGTAGGATGCTACATGTAGCTGGAAGCTTTGACTGAAGTGCCAAGATGCAGGGGAAGTTCGTACTTAGCTGATGCCTTTGTGTGCTTGGTGTGTGGAGACCACTCTGTCCTCTGCAGTGCTCTTCCTGGGAAGCCCAACTCTGTTGCTGTGCATTGCACACCCTTTCCTTTGTCACTAGAGTATGGTAAGGTTTTGATCCTCTCTGCTGTAATCTATTCCTGCCCACCCCCATTAGGATTTAGGATGGCCACATCTGGATTGTAGAAAACTTCTGTCTTTTGAAGCATATGGGGGATGCTGACCTGATTAATGTGCACATCTGGTCCATTTATGACATTTCTCATTGTAAGTTAATAGACTGGTAATAACATTCTAGTTCGTAAGTTTAGACATCAGTCTCCTTGAGTCCAACCAACTACGGGGCAAATCTGAGCTCTAAACTGCAAAGCTAAGCCAGATCCCAGTGTGGAAACTCGGGTAGCAAGTGGGCTGGACTTTCTGCATGGATAGTCAAATCTTAAAGTGAGAATTCTTATCTAGGCCTATGTATTGGATGAAGAATTCAGATTTGGACATGTTGCCTACAGACGTGGTAAAAGGTTGGAACAGTCATATGATCTTACATACTGTAGATGCTTGATAAATGTGTTACCACAGTGATTTGAGTAAGGATAAGTTGTGAAACTGCGGCATATGTCAGGGCTGGGAATAACAACAAAAGTGCGGCTAACATGGAAGGAGAGGTGAAGCATGAGAAGAAAGCCATGGGCGTAACAGAAGCTTCAGGCTTCAGCAGAGAGAAAGAAATTAAACTATCCAATGTGAGGGCACAGTTGGTCATGCCAGCATCCTAAAGATCGGCAGGGATGACACACATGCCAGGGCCAGAGGGGTCAACAGGGATGACATTCAAGCCAGCCCTTGGTGCTGGCTTATGCAGCCAGCAGGTTCTTCTATTTTTTTTTTATTGCTATCTCACACCAACGCTTAGAAGGTGTCCCAAACAACTATAAGAACAGCAGGACTATTGAAGCATGTGAACTGAGATGAGCTTGGAACATTTTTTGAAGGGGCCTAAATTTAATTGTAATTCTACTTTCAAACATTCAACACAACAAAGTACATGGCATTTTTGTCTGTTTTTTCAGGTCTGATAAGTATTCTCAGCAATATAGTTGTTCTGGGCATCTTCATTAAGTACAAGGAACTTCGAACACCCACGAATGCAATTATTATGAACCTGGCTTTGACAGACATAGGGGTCAGTAGCATCGGCTACCCCATGTCCGCTGCTTCAGATCTGCATGGAAGTTGGAAATTTGGATATGCAGGCTGCCAGGTACTGGAGAGCTTTGCAATAAAAGCAAAATGAAGTAGATCAATGAAATGTAAATTTAAATGTCTTTTAAAATTCCAATAATTCATATCAGGTAAGGTACTATAGGATAATCAATATGGTACTTCACAAGTGATGGAGATTACATATGTTCTTTAAGAAGAGAAATAAAATCATTAGTCACTGTTAGGTTTTCAAAATTCCCCCAACTCAAGGGAAAAAAACCAACAACCAACATTCAACTAAAAAATGTGATGATCTGCATATTCAAATAAAATTTATGTTACATAAAAATTTTAACCCCTTCCTTCCACTTCAAACAATAAAACGTTGGTGGCAATCATACATAAGGAATGCAGTTAGATGACCATACTGTTGATTTTTTCTTAGAACGTTCTACATGAGAATTGTCATTAAATATATTTACTGTTATTTGTAGTAATGAAGAAATGAATTTACATTAATTTACATGAAGCTAGTAGGCAAATATGACAGTTTTTCTTAACAGTTTACTATGATAAACTATACAATTGTTATTATCTTGTACTTAGGACAGGGTGTACAGGGTTTACAGGGTCTTGCTGCATAGATCGGACTCGTAGTGATCCTCCTGTTTTTACAGCCTCCCAAGTGGTAGGATTACAGGCGCGTGCCACCAAGTCCAGTCTCAGTCGCAGTCTCAGCACGCTCTGGGGGCAGGGCTGGCACGGCAGGCCCGGGGATCGAATCCCCGGCCCCTGAGCCTGTTTGCAGGTGCTTTCATCCGCTGAGCTATTTGGCCGGCCCTGTGAGGCATAAAATTATGAAGAATAAACATAGCATAACCAAAAATACTCGATGCCCATCTGTGTACCAGCCAGTTTTGTCAAATTTTGATGTTTTTCAATCTGTGCTTCAGGCTGTTTTTCTTCTATTTTGTTTTTTAATTTTTTTATGTGTTTAGTACAGGGTCTACAGGGTCTCACTATGTGATCAGACTTGTAGTGATCCGGCTGTGTTCAGCCTCCCAAGTGCTGGGATTATAGGCGCACGCCACCACACCTGGTCTCCATCGCAGTCTCAGTGCACTCCAGGGGCAGGGGCAGGGCCAGCATGGCACTCTGGGGATTGAGCCCTGGCTGCTGTGCTCTGCCTAAGCAGGCTCTTTAGTCTGCTTAGCTATCTGGCTGGCCCTGTTTTTCTTTTAAAAGATAGAAAATGTCATGGCCAATCATATTCCTTTTCCTCCCATGAATGCTTTTCTTATCACATACTTAATATGTAGAAGCCACGTGTTGTCTAAATGTTTAAAACTGTGTATAAATGGTATCATGTTGGTACATTATGTGGTTTCCTTGTTAGTTGTTTTTGAGATGTATCCATGGGATAGATATGGCTTTAAGTCAGTTATTTTAATATCATATTTTTTTTGTCTGAATAAAGCCCCATATCCCTTTTCATTTTCCTGTTACTGAGCATTTGCTCCCAGTTGCTCCCAGTTTTGTCCTTTCATAGACAAGACTTCAGTACACACTCATATGCATGGAAAGCTTTACAATGTGAGGATTTCTCTAGCTATGCTGCCTCGAGGGCAGTAGACAATATTTGTGTCAATAAAATTAGATGTGGCCATGATGCTCTCCAAATGGTTATTCCAATTATGCGAACTTCTTCTATCCCACGCTGTCCCTAACACTTGGACTCCAAGTTGGACTTCTTATCATCATTTTTGTAACTATAGAGTGATACAGTTTTGATTTACTTGAATACTTACTATGGTTGTATATCTTTTTTTCCCCCATAATTTTATTGAGAAACAAATAGCAATGAGACAATTTCAAATCAAATTGGTAGGACAATTTCAATAATTAACACATTGCATACTGTCTTCCTAGTGGTTATTTGTTGTAAAAGATGCAGATATGATATCCTATTTATAAACATTTGAACAAATCCCTCTATTCATTGAATTAAGAGAATGTAGCTGTATATCTTTCCTAACCATTTTGAATACACAGATACAAAATGCTCATTCATCTGTATCACCTTTTCTTGTTTAGTTCTGTCATTTAAATATTATAGGTGTGTGATTAAGGAGATTATGGGGCCGAAGAAGAAAGTGATCAATGATGTAGATGTGCCTAAGGAGAGTCACATGGAAAGAAAACATTCTCTCAGGCTTTCACAGAGAGCACATTGGCCAAGCAATGGCTGTGACTCATCCACATGGCTGACACTGACAAAGGATCTATAAACTGTGGTACAGGGCCTCAGGATAAATCCTGAGGGGATTTCACTGACCTTATCAGATACAAAAATTACATTTCTTGTTATATAGGTCTTGCTTTATCTTGGTCTTAACCATCCACAGAAACGTATAAAAATGTAAGAAGTAAAGTCATGTTATGTTGAGCTGTAGGGGACTCAGGTCAACAACTTCTGACATTGCCAGTCAAACAGGAGACTCAATACTATTATGGACTACTGGACTATTTTGGAATATTTTGCTGAGTTCACACACCTATAATATGGTTCTATATCTTATGTCACAAACATTCAAATATAAGTGGGCTTATGTGAATAGCCCGTTCATCATTTGTGCATTTTCTTATTGAGTTTAACTTTTACTCCTGTTGAATGCTAAACTTTTTCGGTTATACGCATTTTACTATAATTTATGGCTCACTTAAAATTAAATAAAATTTAATTATACTTTTTTATTTGTCTTTTTGAGATACGGTCTCACTATGCAGTTCAGGCTGGTATTGAGCTCACTTTGTAATCCAGGCTGGTCTCAAACTCGCAATGATCCTCCTGCCTCAGCCTTCCAAACAATGGGATTATAGGCATGTGCCACCACACCCGACTCTTTACTTTTCATGGCTCATTTTTCACTTTGTTTATAGATTATGCTGCTATAGAAATTTTCATTTTAAGGCTTAAAATTTTAAAAATTTAATAAAATTTGAAAACTTTTTTTATGTATTTGGTAAAGTCTCACTCTGTAGCTCAGACTCTTAGTGATCCTCCTGTTTTCAGCCTTCTTGGTGCTGGAACTATGGGCATGTGCCACCATACCCAGTCTCGAGGCTGGCTTGGCATGCCCAGAGGCAGGGGCAGGGGCAGGGCTGGTGCAGCATGTGGTGCAGGGGGATCCAACCCCAGTGCCTGCACTTGCCTAAGCAGGTGCTTAGTCCACTGAGCTATCTCACTGGCCCTGAAAACACTTCCCATAAGTGCTTTTATTAAATCAATTACATTTGACAATGTAAAATGTATTTTAAAATAGTAAAATTTTAATATATTTGAAATATATTCTAACAATAGGTCAAGAATTTTAATGTGTTTGGAAGAGCTTTAGAATTGTGGTTTGTTTTTTTTTCCTTTTGACTTTCAGGTTTATGCTGGGTTGAACATCTTTTTTGGAATGGCCAGCATTGGGCTGCTCACGGTCGTGGCCGTGGATCGCTACCTGACCCTCTGCCATCCTGACGTAGGTAGAGCACTTTTCTCAGTTTTCTCAGTAAGGCTATTTATTGCCTAGGTGCACTCAACATACAATCTCTTCAAGACATAAACATGTAGTTTGTAATCAGGATTAGTCTTGGCTTTTTTGCAATCCTTACTCAGAAGTTTCTCTTTTTTTTGTATTTTAGGGAAGAGTCTACAGGGTGTTCAGGGTCTCACTACTAAATCTGACTTGTAGTGATCTGCCTGTTTACAGCCTCCCAAGAGCTGGGATTATAGGCACGTGCCACCTTGCCCAGTCTCAGTTGCTGTCTCAGTGCACCTCGGGGGCAGGGTTGGTACAGCAGGCCCAGGGACCGAGACTTGACCCCTGTGCCTGCGTGCAGGTACTTTAATCCACTGAGCTATTTGGCCGGCTCTTCAGAAGTTTCAATGAGCTCCAGTCATACCTTCAATAAAGTCGAGTTGCCCATGGCAGCCTGCAAGGCCCCATAGGATCTGGCCCCACCTGTCTGGCGTTGGCTAGGGTGACTCTCCGTGGAGGACCAGCCTCCACCTTTCCTACTCTGAAGCCTTCTGCAAATGCTGTTTTCTTGGCAGGGAAACGTGCTCTCCCAGCTTATCCTCTGGCTGATCATATATATCATTCACATTTTAGCTTATATATCATTTATATTTCCAGAAAAAGAATTCATGTACATAAGTTTTAAATGAAATAATATATCCCGTAAAGGATCAGCTTGATAGCAACTTTGAATCATAAATTAAAACAGAGAGTGCCTTCATGGCTATTCATGCTAATATTCTCTGTTCTTGTTCACAGGAAGAAGAATGACCTCCCACACTTACGTCAGCATGATTCTGGGGGCCTGGATCAATGGCCTGTTTTGGGCGTTGATGCCCATCGTAGGATGGGCTAGTTATGCCCCAGACCCTACAGGGGCTACCTGTACCATAAATTGGCGGAAAAATGATGTGTAAGACACAAAATCCTGGAAAAGGGTTCTGTAGTCAAGCTTTCAAATGATTGCACTCTATAATTCCATGCTTCTACTGTACACTTCCCCCAGCTCCACACCTAAGCTTGGATCTTGTTTCCCATAGAGTGTGGCAAATGCTTCTCTGGCTCGGCTGATGTGATTCAAGCAAGAGACAAAGCAGAAATCATGCCTGTTTGCAAGTCAGTGTCGTCCAGCTCCTTTTGTCTCTCTTACTCTGCCCCTCTTCCTTCTCTGTCCTCTCCAAGGCAGCAGTGGGGGATGTCATTCGCCCTTCCAAAACCTGCACTTCTCTGAGTCAGGGTCCTCAGTAGGAAGAGGGTTAGTAGAGATGGCCAACTCTGATGAAGGCCCAGGCCACTCTGACAGCCACACAGCAAAACAGCAGTCATTGCAAAGTGTTGCCTGCTAGATAGGGGTGCTCATCTATATTTTCCATGAAAATGAGGACAATTTAGTTCACAAAGAGAAGCAAGAAATCCAGCTCTGCCATCATGCTGCAAAAGTAGCCCAGATAGCATATAAATGAATGTGCATGGCTGTGTTTGAATATCCGATAGCTGGCTGGGTGGAGCTGGTCCACAGGCCATAGTTTACCAACTCTTGGCCTCAGTGAAAAGTCAAATAGAAGTCCTAACATTTTAATAATAAAATAACTCTCAGTGTTATTTGCAATAGCCTTCTCTTCTTTCTCCTCCCTCCACTTAGGACATTAAATGAGTAGTCATGTCTGCCTCTCCTTCCAGATCTTTCGTGTCTTACACGATGACAGTCATTGCAGTAAATTTCATTGTGCCCTTGGCAGTGATGTCTTATTGCTACTTCCACGTCACTCGGTGCATCAGACGTCACACAGCTGGTGACTGCCCCAGAGACCTCAACAGAGACTGGTCAGATCAGGTGGACGTAACAAAGGTGAGGAGCAAAATCCTGGAAAAGGGTTCTGTAGTCAAGCTTTCAGGTCAATACATGGTCGAAAGAGTCCCATGGCCTTGCCTCTGGTCTCCTTTCATCCATCCCAGTGTCCACTCCCCAGCTCATCCCCTGGTGTTTGCCTCCATATTTCGAATTACTGTACTTGTTTGTCTACTGCTTGGATAGTCCTGGATTTTAGTATTGCTGGACTTCATACTATAGACATTGAAGATTCATCTCTCTCACCACCAACCTGCCTCTCCCTGCCCTTACGCTTTCTCTCTCCATCCTGACACTAAGCAGGTGAACAGTATTTGGCTAGATACAGGGCCTTCTCTCTCTTCTCTCTGTGTTCATCTGGCCATGGACAAGATGCCTGTGTCCTTCTTCTGGCGCACCCTCCCTGGCTTGCTAAGAGTGGCTGTTCTATGACTGCTGGACAGAAAGCCATCTTCCCCACAGCTCATTTCAGTACCAGCTGGGCATCACTTGTGCTTCTTTGCAGAGTCATGCTGCCTCTTTTCTTCTTGCTTAGCTTCCTCTTCCTAGTTTATTTCCTCTGATTTGGTGGAATACATTCTGTACATAGTTCCTGATGTTCCAAAGGATATAAATATTTTAAGACTTTGTATAACTGAAAATGTCTGAATTCTACTATTGTGTTTGCCTGATTATCTGCTTGGTCTAGAATTCAAGGGAACACAAGAGTATTCAAAGGCATTTTTGGAGGGATTACTCTGTCTTGCTTCTTAGCTCCCAGGATGGCTGCTACAAAGGCCTTGGCATTCTGGTGACTGATCCTTTGTAGTGATCTGTGACTTCTTTCTTGAATAAAGAAGAAGAGAACTTGCCCAAGTTTCCAGTCTTCTGACTTTCACACCAGTGTGCAATGGTGGGTTCTTTAGTCACCCAGCACTGGGTACTTTCTTCCCATACTCAATATGGAGTCTTGGGCCTTCTTCCTAACACATTCTTGTGTTATTTCTCTAGTGATTCCTGACTCTTTTCTTTGTTCTTTCTTCATAGAAATCTTTTTACTTGGATGTTTACATTTTTGGCTTTATCTTCTGTTTTTCTCTCCTACACTCTCTCTTTTTGTTCCTTTTGCCACTGTCCTTATTTGTTTCCTTTTGTGTCTAGTTTCTAGATTTCTGTAACCATATCATGCTCCACTGAGAGTAAAGACAATGAAGCCTAAGTTGAGTGCAAAGTTTAATGAGCACCAAAAAGTTCAGTAATAAAAATGAGTTTGACACAGTAGTTTAAGGAATCAAAGTTTGTGCAAAACTCATGTGGAAGAAATTATGAAATTTTGTTGGAAGATCTGACCCTACACTTAGAGAACGACTTGCCCTAAACCTGTCCCTCAGCCTGACGGAGTCATTCAGCCATTTTTTTTTTTTTTTTTTTTTTTTTTTGTACTGGGGATTAAACTCAGGACCTTGTGCTTGCCAGGCAGGTGCTTATTCTACTGAGCCATCTCCCTGGCCCCACAGATTTCTTATTATACTTTTAACATTTTTCTTCTCAGTATAAAACCACTTTTATAGATAAAAAGGTTATTTTGTCCAGTAGCCTACATTTTCATGGCTTCCTCTTGTTTTATGGGTAGGTATCCTTACCTTCTGTGATATTATGTCTATGTTTGCATTTTCCTCCTGTTCTCTGTGTGTCCTGGAGGTGCTATAAGTTCCCACACTATTTCTCTGCTCATGTCAGTGTTTCCTCAGTGTCTCGTGGACAGTTCTGTCCTGCATAGTTAAAAGGGATTCTCTAAAAGGCCAGTTGCCAACCCAAGGGGCCCATTACCTGGGTGTTTCCTTTGGAGATTTCTTACTGTATCCCTAGGTATTTTATCCTGGGCTGACCAGTTCCCAAGGAGACAGGTCTTTCCTGTCCCTGTGAGTGTGGGGAGGGGTAGAGCAGATAGCCTACTTTTTTGCAGCAGCAGGTACCCTACTTTTCCAAACAGGGCAGTGTCTGAGCCCAGCTTCTGCGTTCTGAGTGTCCCTGCTTTCGTCTTGATGCTGAGCCTCTGGGGTTCTGATTCTTCCAGGAGAGGAGAGGGCAGTCATTGAGCAGGGTAGGGACCTGGGGCTGCATTTGGAGCCTAGTTGCCTCTTTTTGCAGATCTAAACCAGTTCTCCCTCTTTGAGTTCCACATGCACCCCCATCCTGCCCCTGTTCAGAGCTGCTGGTACCTTCAGCTCTTAGACGTCTGTAGCTCTGTGGAAAATCTAAGAGTCTTTACTTGAGTTCTCATGCTGCTGGCTATTTTCAACATTTTCTTATGTATTTTTCAATCCTTTTCATGTCTAGTAAGTAATTTGCCATTTGCCCTATAATTATTATTATTATTATTATTATTATTTTAAATTTGTTTATTTATTAACATTTATTTTGGGGTGTGTGTGTGTGTGTGTGTGTGTGTGTGTGTGTGTGTGTGTGAGTGTGGCCAGCTCAGCCCACCAGGGGGCGCAGCTGGCTGGCATGTGGTGCTAGAGGATCAAACCGCGGTCCCTGTGCTTTATCAAGCTTGTTCCAAGTAGGTGCTTTAGACCACTGAGCCATCTCTCCAGCCCTGCCCTATAATTATTATTTCCATTAAGAGACAAGCTATTGCCTAATCCATGATTCTCTGTACTTATGGGGTTATGATTTTTTTTCTTTTAATTATTTTCCATGCTAGTGGAGTTTCAGGAAGCAAGAGTGAAAAAACAAACGAACAAACAAGAAAACAAATAAGTTATTTCTCCATTTAAACATGATACAAAGGAGCTCTTTTACAAAATTGTCTGCATTGTATGTAAAATATATTCAGTTAAAGTTGCCTGCCATAGAATTTACTGAGCTCAAGATAAGACTTTGTCTGGCAGCCTGTTGTTATCCTAGGTAATTTCAGGTACCTAACCAAAGAGCAATTGTGTCATATACAACACAAACTTAAACTCCAATCCAGATAACTTTATGCTGTCTTAGCTATATTCAGTATTTAAATGTTTTAGATGCCGCACAGGGCGAGTGTCTGTTTCTATTCCAGATGTCTGTGGTCATGATTCTGATGTTTCTGGTGGCGTGGTCTCCTTATTCCATCGTGTGCTTATGGGCTTCCTTTGGCGACCCGAAGAAGATTGGCCCTTCCATGGCTATCATAGCCCCGTTGTTTGCAAAGTCTTCCACTTTCTACAATCCTTGCATTTATGTTATTGCCAATAAAAAGTGAGTATATGTTAAATGCTTTTCAAAGAAAGGACACGGAAAGAATACTCGAAGTACATAATGTTCTGAGGTTTTAAAGCAGCGAGTGGTAGAAATTCATTCCAATCTGGTGCCAGGTTCTTCGGCTCAGCTGACCAGAGCAGCATTCAAGATCTTAAATGCCTAGCGCTCCAGCTTTGTGACAAGTTCTTCCCACATGGTGGCAGAAATGATCTTCAGAGACCTGAGAACCTAGTTCTACCAGCCAGATACCTCAGACAGTTCTGTGACAGAAAAGTCCTTGCTGACCAGCGTGGTTTGAATGGCTACCCCACCCCAAGTCCATGGACCAGTGCCTTCTTTTCTTTCTTTCTTTCTTTTTTTCTAGGATAAAAGTTTTCTTTTCTTTTTTTTTTTTGCAGAACTGAGAATTGAACTCAGGCCCTTGCACTTGCCAGGCAAGTGCTTTTTCAACTGAGTTATCTCTCCTGCCCCATAAATTTACTTCTGTTTCCAGATTAATAGCATTTCCATTGCCCCTCTAGGTCCTGTGCCTTTTTTTTTTTTTTTTAGTGGAACTGGGGATTGAATTCAGGCCCTTGTGTTTGCCAGGCAAGGTCTTATTGTACTGCGCCATCTCCCCAGCCCCCTTCTTTTATTTTAAAAAGAGAAAAACAATAAACACAATGATACAGAATTTTGAAACAATATAATAGAAAGTTAACAATGGCTAATATATTGCATATTGCTGTCTTCAAATATGCTGCTCATATTATGAGATAGGTATGCAAAATGATCAAACAACGAAAGCACAAATCATGCTTTTCATTGAACTAATTGAAATCACTTATATGCTTGTCTTAGATGATAGATAGATAGATAGATGTAGATATAAAGATATAAAGGTAAGCAGAAGGATTTTTTTCCCGTTCCTTCTTTTTCCTTCCCCCATTCCAGTTGTTCTATCCATTTGTAGTTTTGTGACTTCTTGATGATTTCCATTCTTTTTAGTGCATACTGAAATCTTTTTTTTTTAAATTTTATTGAGAAACAAATAGCAATGAGACCGTTTCAAAACTGATTAGTAGGACAGTTTCAATAATTAATACATTGCATACTGTTGTCTTTGTGGTAGTTATTCATAGTACAAGATGCAGACATGATGTCCTGACCAAACACTATTAGTACAAATCTTTTTTCTCATTGAATTAAGAGAAAGTAACTGTATATCTACCCTAACTATTTTGTATATACAGATACAAAATGGTCCTTTACTTGTATCCCCTTTTTTTGTTTAGTTTTGTCAGAGATGGGTATTCCATTGCCATTTAAATATTGTAGGTATGTGAATTCAGCAAA